GCGGACCACTAATATGAATTTTTTATATATATATATATATATATATTCTCATATTTTTGGTTTCCTCATATATAAATATATTCTAATATGTGTGTGTGTATATACTGTATATATAGAAAGTCCATGGTCCCATCTTCTTTAAAGATCCCTTTAAAGAAGCGGGTGCTACGGTAGTCAACGGGTGGCGACCGTCACAACTATGAGTAAAGGCAGAGACACCAGCACTCCAGGGTGAAAAGCAAACCGTCTATTTATTGACGTGCAGCATAACAGGTATTGCAACGGCCGTTTCGGGGTCGCACAGGATCCCCTTCCTCAGGCAACAGCATACAGTGTAAGTGCATAGAAACAGCTAATATATAGCACCAGACCAATCAGAACAACCAATCACAGACACCCCATGTGACCCTGTGATGTCATCAGCGACGTCACATTCCCGCCAGATATACATGACATAAACAGATGGATTGTAAAGTGTGATAGAGCACATTGTCAAAACATGATATATAGGATTACCTCTGATCAGATCCTGTATCCACATACCGGTAGTTACAAACCGAGGCAACTGCTCATTGCAAGAGGTAATGTCCCTCAGGCAGATCCGTCTGTGCGCTAGGGTTGCCACTAGACATGTGCAATTCGGTTCGTTCCGAAATTCGTTTTGGAAGAATTTTCAGAAATTTGGAGATTCGGATGCATCCGAATTACAGCTAAGACGAATGCAAACGAATCCGAAATTCCCGATTTCCCGAAATTCGTTCTTGGACGAATTTCATTGCAGCAAAATGACATTAGGAGAAAAAATGAAATTTTACCTCTACAACAATTCTATGGTTAAAGCTTCAGAGTCAATAGTGTAGTGGTTAGCGTACAGGTTTGCCATTGTCAAGGTTGCAGGTTCTAATCCAGGGCAGGGAGATTAACGGATAAAGTTTTTTTTTTCTTTGCTTTTGAATTGGCATTCTCCTAACATTCCTACCAGACCTAAAGGGTCTGGTATGAATTGGAGGGGAACCTCAGGCTTTTTTTTTTCATCTTCTGCAGACTGCAATTTTTTTTTCTGCAATGAAACTCCTTATTGGACGAATTTTGTTGCAGCAAAATGACATTAGGAAAAAAAAATGAATTATTTTTTTTACCCGGTGGTTGTGGGGGTCTGCGGGCAAAGGGGCTTATTTGCATCGGGGTACCCCTTTAAATAAGGGGGCACCCAGATGCCGCCTCCCCCCATGTGAATGAGTAAGGGGTACTTGTACCCCTACTCATTCACTAAAGGGTTAAATCAAATAGTTAGTAAAAAGTCCAGACTTTTGACAAAATCCTTTAATCGGAAAAAAAGCAGTAAATTTTTGACTATTCCTTTAATAAAAAATTTTTTTTAAAATGGCTCCATCGATGTAATCCAGAGTCAATCAGGATGCAGGACCCCCGCCGACAAAACATTCCCCCCCCATGTCATTTTGCTGCAACGAAATTCGTCCAATAACGAATTTTGTCCATAATCCAAATCCGAAAAACGAAACTAAACAAATTTTTTTTCTTTGTTTCCAAACGAAACGAAACTAAACAAATTTTTTGTTGGTGCACATCATTGTGCGCAGTAGGTCCCACCCAGTTTCAGGTTGTTGGGGTTACCAAAAAGGCCAATGGGAGGAGCCGCACACGGAAATCCGTGAACAACGGCTACGACACTCGTCACCAAGGCAGCGGCGGAATGCTAATGCGCACACAGAATCAATATGGATATAGAGCGGAGTCCCCAGCCGAGGACAGGGGAGGAGCCATCATGGAACAAATGACATCGCAATGGATTTGTCAGGCACAGTAAGTCCCACCCAATCTACGGTTACCAAGGCTACCAGGAGCAGCACACGGAGATCCGTGGACACCGGCTACCTCACCAGTTGCTAAGGTAGCAGCGGGACGCTAATGCGCACGCAAATCCAGGATCGATGTGAGGCATAGACCCCAGAAAAAGAGATAGGGGAGGGCATGGAAATGTAAACATTGCCATGTGATCGTTCTGATAACCAATCACAAGGCAATATTTTAGTAGAATGACAAAGGGTTAGAACATCTGATAGTGTTTTTATTTCTGTCCTTGCTCTGCTTTCTCTATGACTACTATGCCCCTTATTTCTTGCACTGATATCACAAATGAAAGAAGTGATGGGAAATCCTCCCAATGGGGTCACAAACAGAAATTAAAACCTTGGAGACATTTTACATTTTTCCCAAGCAATCCAAAACTACAGAAAAAGAAAGCAAGCCTTAGCCTAACATTTAATTCTAACAAACATTTAAAAATCCAATGTTTAACCCAAGCCAATGTACGCAGCCACCTAATATTTAAAAAGAGAAAGGGAATAGTGTCAGCATGTATTTCCTTTTAATAGAATCAATTTTTCCTAAATTATGGGATGCTTGTGGTGCTGTGTATGAGGGGTAGGGTGGCACATGCCCTAGCCTATAACAAGAGTAGTAAGACAGGAATCTTTTAGAGAAAACACACATACAGGTTTCAACCTTGCATTAATCATTAGCTTGCTTAACTGTTTTTACAAACATAGACTTTAATCATTGTTATGTCAGCAGATTTGAAACTCTTTTAAATCTAAGTACACAATGCTAGACCTGCTAGTCTGAAGCTGCTAGTCTGACGCTCTAATTGCTCAACATCTACACATCTGCCATGGATAAAACTAATGATCAGAAGAAAATATTAATTGTTGGAGGAGGCTTGGTAAGTAATTAAAACTGTGTAACGTACCGACTCCCGGTATAATGGTACACATCGTGTAGTATGTGAACAGACAGCATTCCAACTTCAATTTTAATTTTAAGCTTACTCTTGGCAAGTTATTGTTGTATTTATTGATGAACTTAAGGGGAAGAGAATGTTCACTGTGCTTCAGTGCTTCTCTTTTCTTCACTTTGCTAAACATTTACTTCTCTTTTAGTAAACCAACTACAATATGTCAAATTTGAAGGTATTTGAAAGTACTTCTATTTTAGTAAACCAATTACAATATGTCAAATTTGAATGTATTGGATGAATTCCTATATCCAGTCAAGATGACAAACAGGATTTGTGCACTCACGTGATTGGATGATTAAAGTCACTAAAAGGGTAATTCACTAAGCTGCCGAAGGCACCCGAGTGAATAACCGAGCTAAAGTGGACAGAGCCGAACAGCATTCGTCTATGCACTTCTGCTCTGTACGGCTGATTTCAGCCGTACATCTGCTAAACTCAGCTGTACATCAGCTAACTTCGGCTGGCTTCAGTCAGCCAAACATGCTCTGCATGTTTGGCTAAGCCAAAGTGCAGAAGCCATTCAACTCGCCATTTGCCCCTATTCTCATATTCGCGGGTATTTTGTTCGCTAACTCCGTGCCTCCGTGACGTTCCCCCTCAAAGTCATACCAAGCCCTTTAGGTCTGGTGGGAATTTTAAGGAGGAACCCCACCCCCAAAAATGGGGGGGGGGGCGCCCCCCCCCC